TATTGATGATAGTGCAACTGTTATGGCCACTTTGGGAAATAATTACTTGAACAGTAGACAAAAAATAAAGCAAGTCAGTTGGAGTCATGGGTCAGCCAGGGCTCAGCAAGAGTGAGGACTTCTAAGAAGAAGTAGCCAGCTCTGAGTTCAGCAGAAGCCAGCAAGCAGGAAGATGAGCTGCAGGCTTGTCAGGATTCACAGCCAACAGCTGGTGTAGAGCCACCAACACCCTCCAGCCCTGATTCAACAGGTGAAACGCAGTTGCTTGTTTCCTACCCTCCAGTATCACCCACACCCTTAGAGCACCCCAGTCGGAGGCTACAAACAGAACTACAGGAGAGATGACAAAGTGCATGCCTCCTGGCCTGATGCCAGCTGCTTCAGTAGTGGCAGGATTACTCCTGAGCAGCTGGCTATAAGCATGACCCTTAAGCATGTAGCTATTAAAACCAGCCAAGGGAGGCTGTTAGGTATGGAAGTAACAAGTTGAAAGCCATCTGATTATGGCACTGGATCGTGCTGCAACCCTGTGACTCTTCTGACTGCTTCCTGACTCTGCCTTTGTCTTGTTCTTCTGTTAGGTGTGGAAGTAACAAGTTGAAAGGCATCTGATTATGGCACTGGATTGTGCTGCAACCCTGTGACTCTTCGGACTGCTTCCTGACTCTGCCTTTTTCTTGTTCTTGAACCAGCTTTTGAGTAACTCTTGGATTCTCAGACCCTGCTGTACAGGCTGACCCTTGGACTAGACTCCTGACTGTGCATAACCTTGGACTGGAACATGACTATGCTTCTTGAGTTAGTGCTCTTGCCTTACTTGCTCTGTGTTCCGACAATTGCCCTACACTGTTTCTGGCCTGTGGCAGCTAGCTTCTTTTAGTTTCTTCACTTCGACCCTTTAATCAGAATGTCACAACTGGAAATGTCGGTAGTATAAATGGCCAATGGGTATAGCTCAGAAGGCGGCTAAAATCCAGCAGCAAGGTGTCAGAGGATTCACAATACCATTATTTACCCCTGCTATAACTTTAAAACTAGGAAACAACAAGACAGCTCAATCACTATAGCTTTAAGACTTGAACAAGACGGCTGCCATCAAGTCTGCCAGCCTTTCCAGTCCCTGGTTCCATATCTTGAATATGTAGCCTTCTGATCCGTAAATATGTCATTTACTATTGATTTAACAATATTCTATAAGATAGAAGCAGGTGGGTAGCCGTGTCGGTCTGAAGAAGCAGAACAAAGCTTGAGACCAGTGGCACCTTTAAGACCAACAAAGCTTTTGAAGAAGTGTGTGTGCACACGAAAGCTTATACCTTGAATAAATCGATACTGTATAAGATTACTGCTTATGTGATCTGTTGTATCGAATATACTGCTTATTTAATAACGTCGTTGGTAGTTTTAAGAAATGCAGATTCTTTTTTAAAATTAAGAAATCTCCATTTGGAAAAACATTAACAAGTTACTAAAAGTCTGAAGTCTGCAGCCTAGGACCTGATCAGGTCAGTTAATATCACTGTGAAATTCAGCACACAAAAGTGCGTATGGCACACTCTTGCCACCCATTTCCTATTAACAATCACCAGGCCAGAATGCAGCAGGCGGCACAACTGGCAGAATTTACCCACTAAACTTTCAGCAGCCCTGCCAGGTCTCACCAGTAGACACAGCAACCCTATACCCATAGCACCCAATCCTCTAAACCTCTCCTACATTTTTACTTTCTGTCTGCTACCAGTTTCCATCTAGGTCAGGGGTGTCCCACATAAGGCCCGGGGGCAGGGCTCCTACCTGGCCCGTGAGGAACTGGTGTGAGGAAGGGAAGACAACAGGATGCTTGAGCACATGTGGTGAGTTGTGTGTGTGTTGAAGCGGTCAAGAAATAGAAAGTACTCTTTTGCATTTACCTGTATTGGTACTTGTATTCAATTATAAATTGAAGTTTGATGTTACTGTTCTGCTATGTACAACTTTAATCTGTCAATAAAAATATTTTTTTAAAAAAGAAATAGAAAGGAAATGGCTAGGGAACAGGAATATGACGCTGAGGTAAAATAGTGTGTGTGTGTGTGGGGGGGGAACAGAAGCAAAGGCAGAGAAAGAGGAGGTAGGGTGTTTTTTCCCCTCCTGCCTCCTCCGACCACAGGTCAGTGAGGATTGGAGAAGCCACTACAACTGGGCTGTCTTGTGCATGCCACTCTGAGGGGAAAAGACCCCCTAGCCTCAGAAGAGAGAAGAGATTGAATTTATACCCCGCCCTTCACTCAGCGTCTCAGAGCAGCTTACAAACTCCCCACAGCAGACTCCCTGTGATATAGCTGGGGCTGAGTTCTTTCAGAACTGTCCTTGAGAGAACAGCTCTTACAGAACTATGGCTTGCCCAAGGTCATCCAGCCAGGTGCAAGTGGAGGAGTAGGGAATCAAACCCAGTTTTCCCAGATTAGAGTCCATGCACTTAACCACTACACCAAACTGGCTCTCGAGTGGAGGAACACAGGGAAATTGGGGTGCTGATATCACTGCTGCACATTTGAACAGTCGCAGAGCTGAGTGAGTGTTGAGGTGGGTGGAGAATGGCGACCTCCCTTCTCCTCCCCACACCTGTTCTTAGCCCATGAGGGAAAAGGGGGTCACTGGAGGACAAAAGGCGCCTCCGGGAGGTTTCAGAAACAGCCTCTCCCTCAGGCCTTCCCTCGGCCCCACCGCTTCTGTGGGAAATGCAGGAGGGATGAGAACTGAGGGTGGGGGGATCTGGAAGAGCCTGGTTCAGACCCCTCCCCCTCCTGAGCCAGGTCCCTGTCGTCTGGATCACCCGGGGCTGGTCGCTCAGCCTGGCACACCTCACAGGGTTGTTGTTAGAGGTGGTGGGGATAGGATGGTGGAGGAGGGAGTCCAGTGTGCCTCTTCGAGATCCTCAGAGGATGGGGGAAGAGAGGAAACAAACAGCACAAGACGGATTGTAGCTGTGCTCGGTAGCTGAGGCTGGGCGTATGGGGAGGTGCTGAAAAACTACCTTCTTTACTTGCAAGGATGATGACTCCTCGCCTGAAGGTGCTATATATACAAAAAGGAACTAATTTGTATGGAACTATAAGATAACCCCCTCCCTTATTGTATCCCTTGGGGAAATGATTAAATATATTTAATGGGGCTTTGGATTCCCCAGTAAATCAGCTAGGAATCAATTGCTTTTATTTGTATTCTGTGTAAAAAATAATATTGTTATTTAGGTTTGCCTGTGTCCTTTATAAAGTTTATATCTCTGGTACCTGGCATTACATTTTATGGCATATATGGCCCTCGTAACAAATGAGTTTGACACCCCAATCTAGGTCATTCTTTTCTCCTTGCACCTTCAATCATTTCCTCCAGTCCTGAATTTCACTACACTGCTTAGTTTATTCAGCCAAGCTGTCTCTATTACTCATCTCTCTACCACCCCTGATCTGAACACAGAGTTACTTCTCATTTTAAATGCTGTTGAGTTTCCACAGAGCCCTTGTCTCACTTCGGTGTACTGCTGCCATTGTCCTTTTCATCATGCCTTCTTTGTCTTTCCCAGGACTCCTGTTTCATTGCCTATTCTGCACCTTTCCTTCAGCCATCTGGTCTCCCACATCCACATTCCTTAGCTTCTTTTTCTCCAGGAACCTCTTCCCAGTCCTTAGCCTTCCCCTTCAAGCTACTTGGGTCTGCAGGGCTTTTGTGAGGCTTTTATTCCAACCAAACTAGTGACTTTCTGTTCCCATACAAAAGCTGCTCTGTAAACATTCCTTGTTCCCCATGTAGTTGGAATGCTCAAGCACAATATCCTGTGCCATCACATTGGCTTAACCAATCTGCAACAGAAATGTCACTGCCACAGTACAAAATACGTTCCCAAATGAAAAAAAAATCAGGAATATTCATCTAAACATATGCTTGATATTGTCAACCAGAAAAAATAATTTTAAAAAGTCCTCTCTTCCAAAATTTTTAGGCCTCTTACCACTACCACCACGTTTACATACCTTAATTTCTAGGGAACAAATGATTCTGAAATGTGTACAGTAGCATTACAAAATCAGCTATAGGTTTGACCTACTATTATTCATAATGAAAACATTCAGAATCATGGTTGCCTAATATCCAAGGGCACAGTCTTTCCTAAATTAAATTATCCATATATTATTAATTATGTAGGACTTTACAGGTTAACCTAAGTGAAGAAGGACAGGTGCCTGCCTCAGAGAGCTTGTATTTATTGTGAAGCCATCAAGTTCAAGGTTGGGAGCATTAATAAGACGCTAGGATGCCAATGCAACAAGCAACTAAGGGGGCTTTAATTCCAGATGAAATATTGGAAATACTAGGCAGTCTCAAAAAACAAGCAAAATGCTTCTGACTGATCCCTACACAAAACACGTTTGTACAGGGCACTTGTAAACTGAAATAGCTGACCAAGAATGTTGGACCACATTAGTCTGGTATTTCTCAAAAATAACTTGATGCTTTAGAAGGAGCTGTATTTAAACTCCATGTGTGTGCACACTTGCTGAAAAGTTGTCTTTGCCACTTGGGGTAAAAGTAGCTTAGTCACTAAACCTTGAGAATCATCTGTCATCTCAGCAAAAACTGTAATTAGCTACTAACCTGATTGCTGGTGACAAGAAAGAATGGTCTGTAGGTGATCATGCAAGGAAGGGGCCTCCTCCCTATCCCTTGCATTGGTAATGTAAATCTTGAGAATGCTTACAATTATTTCACATATTCAGAGGCAAGGCAAACTCAGCATATAGGACTAAACTAGAAACCATGTCAATTTCATGTTGAAGGATCAAGGGTTAATATCCCATCCTTTCCCTTTATTTATTTTACTCTCCAGAGGTTTGTTTGTTTGGTTGGTTGGTTGCTAGTGCAGCATGCAAATTTCTCAAAGAAAATTACATGAAACCATTTAAAACTATTTGATGGTGATTCCCATCTTTAGAATTAGGAACTACCATAAATGTACTTACATTATAGGAATATGGTTCTCCTTCCTCCATAGGTTCATCCACCATTTTAATGCCATTCAGCTGCAAAAACAAAAATAGTAAGAAAAGTAAAGTGAAACTATGATTAATTGTGAACAGAAATCATATACTTGTAATAAACCCTCATAAAATGGAAATTTGATAGATGAGGCCTAACATTTCTTCATCCTAGAAAGTGAACAATGGGGGGGGGGACACCACTGGTCTTTCCTATGCAATGTCCACTTTGCTCCTGCAGCATGCGACCACTGACCCAGTATGTATGAACAAACTAGTGCTTTACTTGATCCCAGAGGAAAAAAAATAGAAATGTGTATAAATTACAGAACATAAGCTTGAAGCAAAATACTGAGAGCAAAAACCTGACAGTCACAACTGTATCCTCAATATTATTTTGAATCCTACTGCATCTGTTTATCGAACACCTACTATGTTTAGGACATCTAGAGAAGAAGTTATGTTGTAAACAAGCAAAGCACCCACAAGTGCAGGTTTGGATCAATGAACGTCTAACTCACACTCTGAGTTAGTGAAAGTCTGCTTTTCTATGTGAAAGAACACCACGAGGGCAAAGTGATGATACAGGGTTATAAAAATAACTCGTCCGATTTATGAATATTTAGACAACCATCAAACCAGACATTAGCCATTTTACACTGATGGAGAAACACTATTCTGACCAGTAAACCCTTGCTTCTGCCATGTCCTGGGTACTTATTCTCTGACTAAGTGACCTTGGCTAACATTCTTACATGCACCGAGAGAAACCCAAACAGAAATTTCATACTGTAAAAGATGTGAAGGCTAAAGGACCAAAGGTTTTCGATTTTGCTCCTGGGTAGTATCATATATCTAATTCCAGACTTGGCCCTAGAGTGTGGATCAGAAAGTCCATGGAATGGGGCAATGTACTGATTGGGAACTACTTCTATAAAAAAAGGGTGGGGGGACCTAGGTTTGCAAAAAATCTGAAAAGTTAACAAAAAAAAGCTGAGAGGATAAAAAACCCAAAACAGTACAGTGCTGTCTGTACATACTTAGACAGTACCCTGAATTCAGGTGGCATTTCAGGTTATCAGAGAAGCACAAAACTGATAATGACAGCAGGTATGTGATGTGGGGTGGGAGAGCAGGCGTGGCAAGAACAGAGGAAGGAAAGACAGCCCTGATGCAGTAGTGGACGGTGAGAAAAAATCAGGAGGATACAAGATGACAAGAAAGCAAGTGGGAGTAGAAGGAAGGCAACCAATGGAGAAAGCACAAGAGGAGGAGAAGCACCAGTAAAGAGGAAGTGGGATGTTTCCTCCTCCATGAGTCTTTGTGCATCTACCTTGGGCTACCACTTGCGGGGTTAATAGGATCTGATGAATCTGTGCCAGCAGCTACTGCTCTCTATCTCCAGAGGGCAGCAACAAAAGTGGAGACAGTCCCATCTTTGCAGCTATCCAAGGGCAAGCTGAAAACAATCTGCAACATTTTGTTGTGGGTCCTCACTTGTAAATACTCCACTGGGTTCCATACAAATATTCATATACAGGGACCAATCAATACGCATGTTTGTTCAAGAAGAACCAGAACTTTGAAAATGTGATTTAAATCAATATAATCTGCTTCAAATTCAAAGGTCAAATAAAAAGAAACAGGCCCTGCAGCCTCTAGCAACTGGAAGCTAGGTTATCAATATATATTAGGAAACGTACAAAAATACTTCGGCGAGGCAAGTAATACCAACTTTTAAGAAGTAGGCAGGCACAGTTTTTTAAAAGAATCCTACCTGCAAGTTTGACAGCTGGAAAGGGAGCTCCCTCTAAACCTAATCCTAATATGTTGCCTCAATTTATTAAGAGGCACTACTGAGTTATTTATTTTGTAGCTAAATATGCTCAAACAGAGGAACCAAATGAACAAGGATATGGCCCTGCCTCAACATGTAGAATGTATTAATTAAAAAACTAGAATAACCTGGTATGAGAAATTAGTCATTTTGATATATCATTAACACAATCCCTCCTCCCTAGTGTGGTATGACACTCAAAGCAGCACCCAAAAAATCCCAAGAAACTGGAATTCCAGGAATAAATTTGTATGACTTCAATATTAAAGAACTTTACAAAAGTAGAACACAATCTGTAAAATAATATCTACCAACAGAACTTGTGTAGAAAACGACAATGACTACAATAATGACTTTTCCTTTCCTTTTTTAAAAATTCAATTTAATTATAAAAACAAATAAATTATACAATACAATACACAATTACAGGAGATATCTCCACTGGTCCAAAAAGTGAGATAACCCTACAGATTCAGATTCTAAGTTAACAATTAAAGAGCTCTTCTCCATAGCCATGAGATCTCAAGTTTTAACCTTCCACTATGTTAAAGATGGAGGTTTATCCTTCTTCCAGTTTTGTTGCAATACACAAACATGAGGTCAATAAAACTGAAATTAGCTTAAGCTTTAGTGTATCAATAACCTTACAAGAAGGTAAATCCAATAATTAACATTTGGGATCTAGCTCTAACTTTACATTACAGATCTTATGAATCACTGTAAGCACTTTGCTCCAAAACCCTTGAACAGCTGGGCATTGTCGCCAACAATAGAAAGATCCCACCTGTTTACATTTTTCCCAACAGACATTTAGAATCTTTCTACAGAAATGATGCAACTCTTGCAGGGTAAGATACCATCTTGACCAAATTTTGAAATATAAAGTTTGGATATTTAAAGCCTTTGAGGTGAATGCATATGATGTCCAGAACTCATGCCAGTCATTTTCAGTTAAGGAAACCCCAAGATCTCTTTCCCATATATTCATAACTGTTGCTCTATTCTTATAAATGGTTTTGGTTAACACAGAGCACAGTTTTGAGATAATGCCTTTCTCTACCAGATCACCAGCAAGTATCAATTCTTCAAATGTAGTATCTGCCCTTCTATTTGTTTTCGTAAAACCTGCAGTACAATAAATATTTCTAAGTTGAAAATAAAAGAACCAAGGAACTTTCGAGCCCAGAAAACTTTTTCCCAGGGCTTCTTTCCCAAGAAATTACCTTTATATTGTAAATCAATCAATCGATTGATAGATTGTAAATCATGGTATCTATAACAACCACAATGAAGCCATTCAGAGATTATATTTGTTTGCTTTCCTGGTGGAAAACACTCCTGACCAAGAAATGCTGCAACTATAGAGTTCTCTGGGGCAAATACTTTACGGTATTGATCCCATATTTTAATAGTACACGTCAAATATGGATTTTAAATAATGTCTCTATCATGCATTAATTTGGTTCCCCATATGTATAATTTAGGATTTTTATTATTTCATTCTGGAACCTCTAAAGGGATCTATGATTTGTTGCCATTTGCATAATACTATGGCATCAAACTGTGCTGCTTTCAGAGGCCAAGTCAATATCAAGTTTACTACCTGGATCAGAAGGTACATATTAAGTGCTGGTTTTAAATTAGTCCACCTGGAACTAATTTATCTCAGATTCCACTATTATCATGTCATTTCAACAAATAATGTATCTTTAAAAATACTACTATGAAGTTTCTTTCTCAAATGGGATCAGTGATGTTACTGAAGTCCATATTCCTCAGACTGAGAAGGCAAAGCCTGTTTCATAAAGCCTGTTTTCATTACGACTCTGCATTATTCTCCAGCTTGCACTGTGATCTTAGTCACAGAAGATCATCATCATCTCCTTTCCCCCTCTTCTAACTCCACCTCCAACCCCACTTCTTTGTAGGGATATACAAATGTGGTCCATTTCTTTTTCGTTTTTGTGTTATCACAGACTGTCTTTTCATTTTTGTTCAATTTCTTTTATCCCATTTATATGCAGTTGAGTCACAAAATAACAATGAAAATGCATACATTTTATGGGAAAAATTAACAGAACAACAGATAATTGCATAGATGCCCACATGGAAGAAGCAAAAGTGAAACAATTTTCAGCCAGACCAGCAGGGATGAGAAATTTAATAGCAATCCTAATTACAATCAGTTCAGAAACTCAACATATTCTGATTCTGCACTTAGATTTTTATCTCCATAGAATTCAGGGAACTCAGCATTTGCACAATCTGCAGAAAAACTTCTCTATTCTTTCATGTTAGCTTCTTTTTTAAAATTTGGTATCTATATTTACAATCTCTGATCAAATTCATTAATGTGCTGTAGAATATGGAGGAATCTGAAGCAAACAAGAAGATTTAAGAGTTGTATATATCTACAGAATACAGGAATTGTAACTACCTGTACTGTAGGTGGTCACCTAGAATTTTGAGAGTATAAAGAGCAACTAAAAACATTTAAAAACATTTTACTCTTTCTGAGAAGAGTCCCAAGCAGCCATGTACTGAAATTACAGGAAATTTTGAAACAGGGAGGACTTGTCATAGAAGACAGGTTAACAGGGACGAGATAGTTTCCCCCAGCCTATGCCACTCCTTCCTCATTCCTTAGAACCCTTCCCCAGCCAGCCCCACCTAGTTCTGCTCCTATTTCCCACCATGCTTTGTTTTCCACCAGAGAGCCAGTTTGGTGTAGTGGTTAAGTGCGTGGACTCTAATCTGGGAGAACCAGGTTTGATTCCCCACTCCTCCACTCGCACCTGGCTGGATGACCTTGGGCAAGCCATAGTTCTGTCAGAGCTGTCCTTGAAAAAGAGCAGTTTCTGTCAGAGCTCTCTCAGCCCCACCTACCTCACAGGGTGTCTGTTGTGGGGAGGGGAAAGGAAAGGAGTTTGTAAGCCACTCTGAGACTCCTTTGGGTAGTGAAGGGCGGGGTATAAATCCAATCTCTTCTTCTTCTTCTTCTTCTAAAGCCTTAAACATTAACTTCTAGTGAAAGCTACAAATGTTAAATTGCCTTTTATAACATTATCAACTATTTGGATTGCCCTCATAGGAACTTACAACTCCAAATACTGTCTTTTAACACAGAAGTAGAATCCTCTTCTATGCCAAGTCCAACATTTGATTATTTTCAACAGAACCATGATTTTGAAACCCCACTGAACC